CAGCTCAGCGCCTGCTCGGAGCGCCGGCCCGATGGCGGCGGCGATGGCCGAGCAGGAGGGCGCCCGCAACGGCGCCCGCAACCGCGGCGGCGTCCAGCGCGTCGAAGGCAAGCTGCGCGCCAGCGTCGAGAAGGGCGACTACTATGAGGCCCACCAGATGTATCGGACCCTCTTTTTCAGGTACGGGTCCCGCCGGGCTTTCCTCCTCGGCAGCTCCCCTGCGGTCCCGCCCCACGCGCTCCCATTGGCCGCGCCCCACGTCGCGCGCGCTCCCATTGGCCGCGCCCCGCGCCCCCCGCGCTCCTATTGGCCCGCGCCTCTGCCCGTCCCGGCGCCGAGCTGGGTGAGTGGCCGGGGGCCGCCGGCGGAGGGGCTCGGGCTCCGGCTCCGGCTCCGGCTCCCTGCGTCCGGCCGCCCCTCCTTGTCCCCTTCCTCCTCTCCCTGCTCTCGCTCCCATCTCCGCCTCACGGACCGCGGTCCGTCCGGGTCGATCCCCGGCGCCCTGGCCCGCGCCTTCGTCCTCAGACGGCCCGCACGCCGGTTCACGGCGTGTGGCGCCGCATCGGCTGTTTCAGACCCAGGGTCGTGTTCCCCCGCGTGGTCCAGGTGGGGCCGCCACGTGCGCCATCGAGATGGCCGGCTCCAGGCGGGGGCGCCTCCTTGTGACGCGAGACACCGGGCTGGGCGACACGGGTGTGCGCGTCGCGGGGCCTGCCGGCGCCGTTAAAGGGCCGTGAGGCTAGCGTGCTGACATCCCTTCCTGCTGCGGCCCGGAATTAGAGCCGCTCCGTGGTCCCTTGGAGGCCTTGGGTTGGCACTCACCTGCCACCCGAAAGATGTCTCCCAGGCCCCCGGGAGAAAGGCCTGGCGGTCTGCGTCCCCAAGTCACAGCCTGGAAACCCGACGGACAGTTCTCGGTGCACGTGTGGTCGCCATGTGTCAGAACGGACCGGCAGCTTGTAGGGATTCGGCCGCCACTAGAGCTTGGCTGAGTGAGAGATGTCTTTCTTGGGTTTGAGTCTGCTTCGCGGAGTCGTTTCTGATGCAGTTCTGAGCAAGGACACCTGGGTTTCGCTCCCGATTTTAAAACTGTCTGGCACTGGGGGTGGTTGTCTAGAGAACGCAGTTGTGGTTTGCTGATCGCTTTCCGGGTCAAGGGACATCTGTAGAGCCTGGTGTGTCTGGTGCTTTTTGGCGGTCATGCGGGCAGGGCTTGAACACAGTGGGGAAGACACCTTAGGTGGGTGGAGCGCCTGGAAGTGCCAGGGCCCTAACCAGTCACATGATGGAGACCACGTCCTTGCATAAGACCCTCATTTATGCCTTGAAAAGAGACCGGAGTGTGGAGAGCAGCTGTCGTCAGTGCTGATTGGCTGCACTGGAGTGAGGCCCCAGTATCGTTATTTATAGATTATTTGTGTTATTTTCACAGATCACCCTCCATTCCAGTGCAGCCAGGATGCACACGGTGGGTTTGAGTGAAAGTGGCCATTCGGCTCCCTGTCTGCAGTCTTACACCGAGGCAGTGAGCCCTGCCTCGAGCCTTAGAGGTCTGCAGGGCTGCTTGTTTTCCAGAAGCCTTGTTTATTGACCCTTGGTGGGCTGTGCATGCAAGGAGCACAGCTGCACGGTGCCTGTCTGTGAAGAAGAGCTGTGGAGTTAGTTTGAAAGAGGGTTGCGTTTCCTTTTAGTTGGAAACAGCTTCTTTGGCAGAAACAAGCCCTTTTGCTTAGTGTGTAGTGACACATGTTGAATTCTGGTTGGTCTTAATACTAATAACTTCCCCGAGGCACCGTGTGTGATAGCTCCTTAAATCTGATTATTCTCCAGGGACTAAGCCACATACGCGAGTAGGCGTTAAACTGTGCCAGAGTGAGCCTTCCAGTTGTCAGCAGCCCAGGTCCGCTCTGACTCCTGGTGCCCCGTGTACAGTTGTCAACAGCCCAGATCAGCTCTGACTCCTGGTGTCCCGTGTACAGTTGTTGTCAGCAGCCCCAGGTCCGCTGTGACTCCTGGTGCCCTGCGTACAGCAGGACGAGGTGTTGGCCATTCCCACCTCATCCTCACGGTAGCACATTCCAGAGTCCATCTGTGGCCGCTGCACCGTCCATTTCATCGAGGGTCCCTCTTGTCCCTCTGCTCACCAAACACGACATCCTCCTCCAGCGACCGATCCCTACTGCTGAGGAGTCCACAGCAGGCGAGTAGGACGGTGTGCTTGTGTCCTCAGAGGGTTGTCACTGAGTGAGTGATAGGAGACCGCCAGATCCTTCTTCATAGGCTCAGTCTGGAAGCTCTGCTGAAACCTGCCCATCATGGGTGACCCTGCTGGTGTTTGACATAGTGACATACTTCCAGCATCACAGCCACATGCAGCCACCACAGTACGACAGACGGACAGAACAGACGGAATAGTGATCATAAGTGTATGACCCGCGATTCTGTGGTTCCTGAGATTTGACTACATGCCACTGCTCTTGGGAGTCTGCGTGTGAACCTCTGCTCTGTGGTTGACCAGCAGAACAGAATCTTCCAGAAAACAAGCCCCTTGTTCTGAACCTGTTCCCCAGTGACTGCCGTCATACACATTGAGTTGCTGACCTAGCTTTTAAGTGGCAAAGTGGCAGGTTGCTCATGTGAGGGCATGATGACAGAGCTGTCCCCTCTGTGCAACTCTCGTGGCACCTTCTGGGGCCTGGATGTGCATGCATGGCAGGAGGGTGCTGTGTGGTGATCACTTGGGATGAAAGCAAACCCAGACCACTGCCTTGGAGTCCATTCCGACCCACAGCACCCCTAGAGGACAGAGTGGAACTGCCCACAGGGTCTCCCAGGCTGTCAGTCTTCAGGGAAGCAAAGCCCAAACCACACCCACTGCTATGGAGCCCATTCCAACCCACAACGCCCCTAGAGGACAGAGTGGAACTGCCCCACAGGGTCTCCCAGGCTGTCAGTCTTCACAGAAGCAAAGCCCAAGCCACACCCACTACTGTGGAGTCCATTCCGACCCACAGCGCCCCTAGAGGACAGAGTGGAACTGCACCACAGGATCTCCAAGGCCTGTCAGTCTTCACAGAAGTGGACTGCCCCATCTTTCTCCTGGGGAGCAGCTGGTGGGTTCAGAACAGCAACCTTTCAGTTAACAGCTGAGCACTTTACACACTGCGCCACCAGGGCTCCACTTGGGATAAGCACCTACCATTGTCTGTATGTCTGTGCAGACGCAGCATGGCATTGTGTGCTGCTGAGCACCTGGGTGTCACATCCTTGCAGGCTGCTCTGTGGGGCCTCTCCCTATGAGCCTTGAGCAAGGTGACAGCACTGTATACACATGGAGCTTTAAGATGACACGGGAGATCAGGTGACGGTCCCATCGTGGTCGTAAACCGGTGAAGATGCAGGCCCACACACAGGCCTCAGTGGTGCACTTGTATGTGTGCACGTGTGTACATGTGTATGCATCTGTACATGTATGCAGGCCCACATACAACCCTCAGGGTGGGTGCTCTCACATATGTGTACGTGTATGTGTGCACATGCATATAGGCCCACACACAGCTCTCGGGGTAGGTGCTCATCTGTGTACATGTGTGTGCATCTGCACATGCAGGTCCACATGCAGAGTCCTTGGAGTGTGTTTGCACATGTGCATGCATGTGTGTGTATGTCTGAACAACCCAAGTGATAGTTCTTGGGTGGCCATGACAACACCGATGAGGTGGTTATTTTTCTTGCTGTGTAGATGTTTACTTCTGTGCCCTGCCCCACATGCAGCCAGTGTGGCCCCTGGAGGGGTCGCTATGTGCCTGGGGTGGGGGTCACTATTTGGTTGTCAGTGATCATGCCAGCTGTCTCCCTGCCTGCACTCTGTCTTCCGTCACGGCCAGTCCCCTCGTGGCCTCCACCAGGTTGGCACGCCCGGTCCCCTCGTGGCCTCCACCAGGTTGGTACACTACCCGTGCTCCTGTGTTTGTGGTGTTTTCCTCGTTGGGGGTTGTGGCAGAAAGGGGCAGGTTTGCTTGATGGTGGGTGTTCTCTGATCGACGAGATGAGCTGACGTCAGGGAAGTAAAACGTCTGCTGTGTCCCAGCACACGGCTGTCCACCCCCGGCGCCGTCCACCTCCTGCGTCCTGTTCTGTGCCTGCAGCTCCCTGCTAGGCCTGCGGCTGCCAAGAAGCCCACTCCCCATGTCCTTCAGTGTAGTTGGTTCGGCAGCAGTTCTGGTTACAGACGGTCAAAGACAGGGATCACACTCAGCCTGCCCCACTGTGGGGAGGGCCAGGGCTTAGCAGTGCTATCCCCACCGAGGTTCCTGCTCTCTTCATGGCGTGAGGAGGAGGTCATTGACCTCCCTGGGACACTTGTGTGTGTGGAGGTGTGCGCACGTGTGTGTGGAGGTGTGGGGAGCTGTGCTGGTTGTCAGCCTCCCTGGGACGTACATATGTATGCATGTGTGGAGGTGTGCATGGTCGTCGTGTCTGGAGGTGTGGGGAGCTGTGTGTGCTTGTTGATCTCCCTGGGACCTGTGTAGGTGTGCGTGGTTGTCGGCCTCCCTGGAACACGTGTGTGTGCATGTGTGGGAGTGCATGGTCGCCGGCCTCCCTGGAACACGTGTTTGTATGTGTTGGTGTGCGTGCTCGGCGGCCTCCCTGGGACACGTGTGTGTGTGTGTGTGTGGAGGTGTGCGTGCTCGGCGGCCTCCCTGGGACACGTGTGTGTGTGGAGGTGTGGAGGTGTGCGTGGTCGGCGGCCTCCCTGGGACACGTGTGTGTATGTGGAAATGTGCGTGGTCGGCGGCCTCCCTGGGACACGTGTGTGTATGTGGAGGTGTGCGTGGTCGGCGGCCTCCCTGGGACACGTGTGTGCGTGTGTGGAGGTGTGCGTGGTCGGCGGCCTCCCTGGGACACGTGTGTG